AAAAAATATGCTGTATATATATATATACAGTTTTTTATTTTTCTCTGTTGGAAGATTGTAAAAAAAAGTGTTTAGGGAATTAGTCTGGTCTTATTTTGCAGCACAAGTTTTTTTTGCTTTAAGTTAAGGCATATATTGGGCAAAGGAAGTTGTAATGATAGGTCAAATCTGTTATGTTTTAATAAAGCACTTTTTCTTGTGTGGCTGATATTAAGGGACTCGTTATGACATGTGTGCCTTGTTTTATTTCGCACAGAATCTCTGACGTGTGTCAAACAGGCTTTGATCAAATTACTGGCTGGGTGGAAGCAAACATTTCAGAGGGTAATTAAAAATGAATGGATTGTGGTTCTGCAATAGCTGATTACTTCACGTGCCCAAATATGTGGTTCCAAATTGGGGGGAAAAAATTCAATTTTAAATAGTCTGTGACCTTTAAATAAGAAGAAATACATATAAAAAAAGGTTTTGTTTGTTGGTGCTATTTTCACCAGAGAAAACCTGAACACCTACTGTATCTATTTACCCTGACTCCAGAGCAAACACATTAGTTTCACATCACCTTGTTTGTTTCATTTTGTTTCAGTTTAATCTAATTTTGCTTCACATTCGTCTTACACCGGATGCGGTCTCTCCATGCTCACCTCTAAAAAGGATTTCCTGGCAGGCAGCCGGTTATCATCTTTATGGGGTGTTCAAGTTCTATTTTGTTTGTTTAGATCTGTCATTAAGGACAGTTATCACTGCTCCTCCTCCATTTGATGGATAAAAACCCATTTTTAAAGGTGACATATTATGCCGAACCAAGTTTTTAATCATCTGATTATGTACATTTGGGACTGTGGAGGGCCTATCAGCAGGCAAAGTGTGAAAAAAAATGACTCAGTCATGTTTTTGTGGGCCGCCTCAGTCTGAATCCAGGAGATAAATCAGGAGGTTTCAGGAGTGGGTAGTTTCTGACGTCATTAGCTCTAGCTCATTATAATATTCCAGCCTTTCACCTGCATGTTGCCCCCCCCCCTCAGCTTACTCC